TTGAGAGAGGGCAACTAACAATATTATAAACACAACAGCTCTAGTAATTTTTATTTGACGTACGGCATATGACAAAAATAGGTACAGCTCATCCCCATGAAACATTATGTTTGCACTTACTGTAGATAACTTGCCTTACGACAAATTAAATATATCAGTGAACATTCTGCTTGAACTTTAAAGATTTTTTTCTATTTGCCGTACGGCAAGTGATGTGATAGTTCTTAAGCATGCCCTTGTTCCATATTCAGAATAATAGCTCTACTTTCCCCTTATAACTTGCCTTATGACCAGAACATTTACAATCCTACTAATGTGTTCGGAACCTTTTATTTTTCGGTGTTCTGCAAATTATAAAACCCGATGAGTTCAAAGTAGCTCTGGCAGTGGCTCTGGCGAGAGTTAGCGAGACTTCAGCGAGATAGGTTAAATTATTCACGGAAATGAAGCTAGGAAGTGACTAGCACGTGGAGGAATGGTAAACGGAAAAGTTATGTTGCGTTTCAGTTTTCACCACCCTTTAATTATCAGCTGATAATGTCTGTAGAAATGTACTTCAATCAATCGATCTCTTTTATTATCGTTTTACTAACTGCGTGACAGTTTGCTTGATAGGGCGTGCTAAAATTTTGTATGCTGATTATCATTTTACTCATCGATTGGATGTTTGATTTCAATGGAATCAATGATAATTTGCATATGAAACACAGAACACAGGAATACCACTGACCATACTGACCAATCGCATTGAATAAACAACAATTACATGTGAACGGACAAAGCAAATTTTACTTCCTATAATGATGATATTGATAGAGCTACGTACATAGTACAACAGAAGCAGAGTAGCCTTACTAATTACATTTTTTAAATTTTCTTAGACTTGTTTAAAAACCCATCCGGTCAAATCGCAACAAATATTTTACATGCTTTTTTGAGGACAGAAAACGGGCTTTGACTGACCACGTGTTGCCGCTGACTACAAATGCCGCACTGGGAAACAATCATTCAATGTGATTGGCCAGTATTATCAAGGTATTGTTGTATTCCGATTTTCATATGCAAATTAGTATTGATTTCATTGATCCAATCGATGAGTAAAATGATAACCAGCACACAAAATTTTAGCACGCCCCATCAAGCAAACTGTCACGCTGTTTGTAAAATAATAATACATTCATTCAAACTTAAATAAGTATTCTCTTAGTATGATACAATTTTCTGCAGTCATGAATTAAAATTTCTTTTTGGACAAATATTTTTGCATGGGAACCGGGACTATATTTTTGGCGTCAGATAAGCAAATGAGGCACCAGCATGATTTTGACTGACCAATCAGCTGAATGAGTATTGCATTGTGGGTTACTACGAATACTACAGGAATTTTACGCTTGGAAAAAAAGGAAAATCTTATGGAAATGAAAAGCATTTTTAAAAATATTATTTTCATGCTCATAATGTGAAAAATTCCATTTGTTAAATAAACAGCGGAAGTCTAGGTTTCTGAAAGTCATACTGCAAAAGCGATTTGCGTCTGTATTAATTCCTTTGTTGTACTATCGGTGAATACAATTGCCAGGTGAATTTCCTGGCCGAACTCGTGATCAAACGTAAACAAAGTTTTGTCCATTTAAATGCATAAGAGATGCTGCTCGTTTTATTTACCCTTGAAGTGCTGGTGTTCTGAACTAGACACAAACAACATTTTTTCCATTTAGCAATGGATTAAAAAAGCCCGTAACATCTTTCATAGTTTCTTATCTTTGTAGTTTGTTCGTAAGAACATTTTTTTTATTTTGCAGTCCATTAACATGATCATAGATTGACCTGAACTATGTGTTCGAAGTAAAATGTTAACATGTTTTTGGCGTAAACGTTGCTATTCATTCATTGGTCATTTGTTCGTGGCAAGATCCTCTGTGCGCATTTATTACCATTTTACAAACAGCGTGACAGTTTGCTTGATGGGGCGTGCTAAAATTTTGTGTGCTGGGGGTCGTAACATAAAAAGTACTTAAGTCTAAGACCATACTTAAGTAAGACATAAGTACATTATTTGACTTAAGTCCGTATCATAAAGGATGCTAAGAAATACAAATCTTAGCAAAACTTAGGTGATCAACATAGGTGACTTAAGTGCGTGTTATACATAACATGAACACATTATACGTAAAACTGTTAAAATTTAACGATGAATATTGTACTTATTTCATTTGTTATTAATTAATAAGATAATCTAATACCTCTTCAAGTCAATAGATAGCAATTATGTCTTGCGTACAGGTATATAGCAATTTAAACATATACATGAACACTGTAAAAAAAATAACTAGTTAATGTCACGAAGAAAACTAGTAGATTCACTGTCCATACAATCACTACCTTGATAGTAGGTTTACCAGATATTGGTATATTGACTAGATAAGATTAATAAATTTAGGAATTGATAAGTAACTTTCACTAGGTATCTAAGTATCTATACGACCCCCGCTCCACAACTCACTATCTTAACCAGTAAACTGAAAGTTTACTAATCACGACCAACGCTTTACGAAACACACTAGTTAAATTCACTAGGTTTTTCTTTCAGTGAAGCAAAATAACCCTAAAGGATATGTGTGTACATTAGTTATGATTGAAAATCAATGACAGGTTAACTTGGCCGGTAATCACAGAGAAAATGAGAGTAGTATTCAGAGGTCTGTGAATAAAGACACAATTAAACACTATTCACATTAGATATTAGAAGTTAAGTTCGAATACACAATTATTACACGAATGGCGTCTGCTTAAATATTTCTACAAAGTGGAAGGAAAAGGAACGATGCTCTGAGGGAGTAGAAGGCTGTAAATATGGGGTCATCATCCATGTTCTTAGTGGATATGCTGAATCACCCAAGAGCCATCCTTCGCTAATTTCACCTATATAAAATATTCATGCATCTAATAACATTTTAAAATTGTATGATGTAGAGTAAGCAGTTAAGGAACCCCACCCCCCACATACACACACATATTTTCAAACTTAACATTTTAATTTTTTATTTTTTCATATCTTAATCATGATATTAAATTTGGTAATGTTTTAAGAGAAAAATGAGTTGAAAAAAATGGAGCATAACACTACAAACCTCTTTGAGGAAGGGGTTTCGCCCACCCCCCTTTTTTGTTCGATTTCCCTAGTACAACCCCATTTGAGTTTAAACAAGAATGTGATATTCATAAAATTATTATCATGAAATACTATAGTATTATGCTCGTCATATGAAAACTAGAAAAGTCTATTGAAAGATGTTTTGGTGTGTGGAAGGGCCGTTTTCGCTGTCTTGATAAAACTGGAGGTCCTCTGTTATTTTATCCTTCGAATGCATGCAAGGTATAAACAAATAACTTTATGAAAATATCAAATGTATATTTTTAAAACCAATAATATGTTTTGATATACAATATTAAATGTTCCCTCCACTTTAAGGTGATAGTTGCGACAGCGGTTTTGCACAATATGTGCATCAATGACAGGATACAGTTGCCATTATCTTCCGTAAAGGAAAGCAAGCCCCGGTGAAAAAGAACGTGACGGAATATTTAAAGACTAAAAGTCCCTTAGGACAATTGTGACAATAGTCAGGCGTGATTAAAGAAGTAAAAAATATTCAGTCTGTCAGTAAATATCACACTTACATGTAATAACCAACGCTACATTATGAACTTTTACACTGTATAATATTTTAATTATGACTTAGCTAAGATCTTGCTTAGTTCGCTTTATGTTACGGTATAAGACATACTTAAGTATTACTTATATAGGTCCTAAAAATGTACTTAACGCGTACTTAAGACCGTACTTAAGTCAAAAACTTAGCATGCTTTATGTTACGACCCCCTGGTTATCATTTTACTCATCGATTGGATCAATGAAATCAATACTAATTTGCATTTGAAACTCGGAATACAACAATAGCCTGATAATACTGGCCAATCGCATTGAATGATTGTTTACCAGTACGGCATTTGTAGTCAGCAGCAACACGTGGTCAGCCAAAGCCCGTTTTCTGTCCTCAAAAAAGCATGTATTATATTTGTGAGTTTTTAAATACGTATAAGAAAATTTAAAGAATGGAATTAGTAAGGCTACTCTGCTTCTGTTCTACTATATATGTACGTTGCTCTATCAATATCATCATTATAGGAAGTAAAACTTGCTTTGTCCGTTCACATGTTATTGTTGTTTATTCAACGCGATTGGTCAGTATTGTTAGTGGTATTGCTGTGTCCTGTGTTTCATATGCAAATTATTATTGATTCCATTGAAATCAAACATCCAATCAATGAGTAAAATGATAATCAGCATACAAAATTTTAGCACGCCCTATCAAGCAAACTGTCACGCTGTTAGTAAAACGATAATATAACAATAGCCATATAAGGCAAACAAATGTTTGTCAGTGTTGATGATAATGCATATTTTTTACCAGCGAATCGGTCACTAGTGAGCTCAAATTTTCGCCGAAAAGTATAAGATATATTGTTATTTTAACACCCCTTCCTTTAGCCACCCTTTTTCTGTTGAAAATCGTGAGTCTTTCAGAAAGGTCTATAAACATTTATTACAGGACATGTTTTCAAAAGAAACAGGCTATAGCACTATCATGTTTACTGCCAATTTTATTTATAAAACCGGTTCTACCCTATAACCTTTGAATAGATTAACCTAAACCACGTGTCATGAATTTAAATCACAATAACATTAGTAGGGGTGATTTACCCAAGGAGAAAATTCCTTTAAGGTAGAGATTGATAGCTTGTCAACAAAAAAACTACCCATTGAATTTTTCTGAATTTTTTATATGTTTCTGTTGAGTCCTTGTTCTAAATCATATCAAAAATTCAGGGCAGGTCATCGGGCTAGTTTTAGAGAAATTTGACAATTTTAATATAGCCTTCATCAACCACCGAAGAGCTGAAAAAGCAGGGTAAAATAATATAAGAATATGATATGAAAAGGGCTGTAAATTTTTTATTGGTATATCAATTATCATTTGTCTTATATGAATTCAAACATCTGTCTGTATTGATTAATATTTGACATCAATCTTAAATTTATCAAGCATTGTTAGCGAAAAACAGAGTTACAATTACCAAGATGCATGGTCAAATTAGGTTAAAATATTGCCTATTCCTTGCACAAAGTCTCACACTTCTGCTTCCACTGTGAAAAAATTACCCATCAAATTTCTTTTTTTATTGCATATTATAGTTAGCCTATAAGTGTCTTAAATTTTAGAAAAAAATCATACTACATAATGGGATTTAAATTCAACCTGGAACAAGTTTATTATCTTACACCCTACCCTACCCCCTTCCTTTAGAAGGTTGCAATTTTGAAGAATATGGTGACTAAGAGAGATTATCAAGAATTTATCAAAATATTTCACAGAAAATGAGTAAATTCTTTGTAATATTCTTCTAAATTACATTTTGCATCACAAAAACAATTTATACATGTACACCTAGACACATGTTGCCCTGGTTGACCTTTTTGCACTTATATTAAAAAAGATAAGAAGTTTTCCTTATATCGTTCAAATTGACTTTGATAGATAGAATTAATCAAAATATTTCAAAGAAAATGAGTAAAATTCCAAGTAATATTCTTCTAAATTACATTCTATATCACAGAAAACAATTTATACAGGTACACCTGGACACATGTTGCCCTGCTTGACCTTTTTGCACTTATATTAAAAAAGATAAGAACTTTCCTTGATATCGTTCAAATTGACTTTGTAGATTTATTATACATATGATTCTTGGATGAATTATCAATGACAATATGTTTTGACCAATTCTGTGCTTAAGTAAACTGGTTTTATTATCTTCCTTTGACAACAATAGAATGATTAATTTGACTTTTCTTTCAACAATTCCTTTTTTATTCCAAATACATGTACAACATAAATAAGAAAACCAAGTGATAATGAAGTTTTGAACACAGAATCAATCCACGGCATGTTATCCTTGTTTTAAAAATATTCAGATAAAAATGTGTTATGTATTACACTGTTAAATGAAGACTGCCTGGTCATCAGTTGTCAGATATTAATACACTAAAGCATGGTAAAAAAAAAAATGCTAAATACATGGTAAAAAGTGTGGGAAAATTGGGTGATTTGGTTATCATTACATATATACAAAAATAGTGTAATAATTTACAAAAAAAAAAACAAAAAAAAAAAAAAACAAACATTTTATTAGAGGTAATAATTTGTAACTTTAAAGTATAGATTTTGCAAACAGATTCATGAAAGTTAGAGGAATCCCACCATAAACTGTATGTGATACTGTACAATTTTTAAACTCATGATGTAGTTCAAAAAAATAAAGTGAATACATTCAGTACATGTACTGTAATAGGATAAACTTGCTATTTTGCTTTTTGTCTTATTGGCTAACAAAGATCAATGTAAACATGTAATCATTTTTAATTGCCATCGTATGCAGCCAGTTGCGTCATGTTCAAGGATCCTGACAATTCAGTTGTTTTTATGTCAATACAACAAAGGTGTTCTTTCACAAGGATCTGCAGTAAGCGAAATTCACTCTGTATATTCAGATTTTGAAGCACGTCTTATGGTGTGATATGTCCGTTCCTCTTTACCGTCTCCTTCTGGTAGTTCTTTTTCTGAAAAGAACAAAATATTTTAATACAATAAGAATGAAAATACATGTTTCACTTCTTTCTTACACTGCAAACATAGTATGACTATGTCTATATGAATATAAGACACTTTTGGGATACCTTTTTTATATAATATCATGAATTTTTTAAATTAAATGCATATAAAGTCAGCCTCATTAATCTGGGCACTTTTGCTCCCAAGGAAATTATTTGGATTAATGAATTGTCTTAATTAAACAAAGTGGTATATAAGGATAAAGATCAAATTTTAGTTTCTAAATGTAGGCCACACTCTAAGGCCAAGACCATGGGGTTAAAGGAAAAAAAAATAAGCATGAAATACAAAGACTCAGCACAAACTGTTCAAGAGTTAATACCAAAGGATCAAGTTTATGTGGAAATAAAAAACTACATGTACCAGTCAGTGACACACCAAAGCATATACAACTAGCAACCTAACTATTATATGTGGAATTAAAATACATGTACTTTTCTTTTTACATCTTATTCCATTGTTTTAATTCAGTTTTGCCCCTAATTACCTTATTGATATAAATCCAATATTCTTTTGTAACACTGCAGATGACACTTGATTAGCCAAGGATCCTATATTTCCATGGGATCTGTAACATGATGAAAACAAAATAAAGTACCGGTAAATAGCTTGATCTATTTTTTCAAAAAAATGTAGAATTTATTAACAATTTTGATTTTTTTTGCAAATTTAGCTATGATAATGTGAAGAGGTTAATATTGTTAAAAAAACCATGTCAATTACAAGATTTTTATCAATACTGACTTCTTCATATCATCATACCAATTCTTTGGTGCTTTAGTTGAAACAATTTCATTCAAGTTAGAAAACATTTTAAATTTTAAAATTTTTTTGGTTATTCAGTTATATTTACATTCGCCGTGTTTTTCTACTAAGCCAACTGTGAAATTGATTTGAAAACCATTTTTGTGTATACTCACGCGTAGAAATATACACGGAGAAACGTGCGTTAATGTGACATCACAATGACACTGCAGCAACGTTAGTAAAAATGCAACAATATAGGGCAGGGAGAAAGTCAAATATTGAGTATATTTTAGTTGCTTCCAAACATGTAAAATGTAAATATAAGGAATGTTTTTAAGTTTTGTGTGAATTATTGGTGTGAGAATCACACAGACTTGCACGTAGGCATATTTTTCATGAAGCGCTAGCGCGCTTCATGAAATATGCCTACGTGACAAGTCTGTGTGATTCACACACCAATAACTCACACAAAACTTATTATAAAAACATTCCTTAATTGAATTCAATTTACAACATGACTTTTTATATGTTTATACACAAATATTAAACCATACGTGTATTTAAGTCAATAGAACACCTACATGTAAGTAGTGATGCAGGGATCCCCGGTTAGATTCTCAGTCCAGCCATACATGTTCCTCGTTTCCTGACACACAAGTATGCCACTTTATGTTCAGTTTGCTGTAGCAGATCTGGCTTGAACTTTCCTGAAATATTAATATGATCTTTGAGAAATTATTGACTTAAGAAAATGCTTCTTTATGTATACAATAATACTGTATGTACTTTATGGTGTTTAAATTAAAAATACAAGGACTAAAAATCATAAATTTCAATTTTTTATACATGTACATGTGTATTATAAAACACCTCCTTTTTACCACCCCCTTGAAAAAAATTTCTGGATTTTCCCTGATACATGTGCAAGTGTAATTTGAAAGAAAAAATACAAAGCAATGGCTATTTTTGTAGTTAATGTAAAAGGCACCCTTGATATTCCTCTTTCCAGGTGACACTTGATTTGGTCACATTATTTCAGCAAAGAAAGCTGAATACACTGTGTAGTTCATAGCTTGCTTCACCTGTAGTATTAAATATTTCTTTTATAATCTATGAATATGATATCTGTTTATAATCAGGGCCCTTTTGAGCATAAAACAAATACATACATAAATTTATTACAGGTACATAAATATTACATAAGGCTAAAAAAATAGTCTTGTTTCCTGCTACCTGACTGACCCTACTTTTTTGTCATTTGATCCTAAAGTTGTTTCTTTTTTTTCAATGCAACTTTTTACAATTTGCTTGTTATTTCAAAAAGACAAAAGATTTGCAAGTTATAAAATATCCACTATCAATTATAAAAGGGGTTATGATAATTAAAAAGCATCTGCCATCGAAAGCAGAGAAAGTTTATACATTTCTGCATTTGAATAATTTAAGCAAAATATGTTTTTCCATTTCTTGATCTGAGTAACTAAACCACCTCGTGTGTTAGGCGCATCAATCCAGCCTTTATCATGTTCTGACACCCGAAATGCCTGGTTTTATTCTTCTATTCTAGAAGTTACAGTCTGGTCATGCAATAAGTTTAAACTTTTAGCTAAATAAAACTACTTTAGGAAGGAAAAAATCTATGAAGGTTATTAGTAATAGAAGCTTAATATACTGATTGTACCAGACCTGTGCGTAAACAAACAAGCACCATATAGGGGAATGCAGACCGCCATATAGTCATGATCGATATATTATAAAGTCGTAAATATTCACCTTATGTATCTGACACGGACACAGCATACAAAAAATCTGTTCTGCAAAAATTTTACTTCTTCCGTCATACCAATTAACATCTGTAGAGTCATGGTCTTTAAAATGTCTATACAGAAAACAACATCAGGCATAGATCGATGCTGGTGTACCCACGTGGTGCTGCAGCGGACACTGGACAAGGAGTAGTTTCACCAAAATTATGTTCATGTTCGGCTTCAGTCTCACTTCTATTTTGATTCTCATGAAGATGCTTCAATTTCGAGAACCGTAAAGATTTAATACGTATGGTAACTTTGTCTTCTAAGTCGAGGAAATTTCTCGATCGCTTCGTCGGCCATCTTGTAACATAGACAATAATGTGTAAATGGAGACTTTTATTTGACGGCGTTCCGGAATCCGGAAAAAAAAGCACGTGCAAATATGCGAATTCTTTCTATCACGCGATTGCTATCGGTCTCTACCTTAAATCCCAGTTCATGTCTCCTAAAAAAGACAAAATAATTTTGTTTTACTTCCTCCCATTACATGTACCTCTCTGAATGTATATTTTCGATTCGCATGTACATGTAAATGTCTTGCTTTTCATAGTCACAGGCAGAAAGGAATAAAAAGTTGAGATTTTTGGCTGTTTTAACCTGTTATTATACTAGTATCTTAAAATTAACTAGGAGAGGGAAAGAAAGTTAAATAAGAAGCAACTCTCACCAAGAAAACAAAACAAAACAAACAAACAAACAAACAAATATTAAAAACAAACAAAACCAAAAAAAAAAAACAAAAAAAAAAACCATTCCTATCCTCCCTCTAAAAACATTTAGAATATATCCTAATTATTTTAAATGTGGTTATCATATGTACTTTTGAAATACATATACAATTTTTTGCTGAAGATGCTCAATAATTAATTAAATAAAATTACAGAATGTTAAAGTCAATCATATTTTAATAATTATATAAGTGGAATGAACATAAGATTATTATGATGAAATAATATTTACTTAGGATATGAGTTACATGCCCAAACTCACGAAAAAAAGATTTAATGATTGAGATGGTAACACATCAATAGTGTAGCCATGCAAGATTTGTTGCTGAGTTTCAGATACTATAATCATAAATATAACATCAAAATTGAAGACTGGCAAATATAAATTAACAAAAAAAAAATTGAACTACATAAATAAACTGAATATAGTTAACAATGAGATGAGGAAATTATTCAAGTTCTTTCAATTAAAACCAAGGCCTATAACCTTGTGACCTTGATTGTGACCTATATGCTAAAAATAGCTTTTTGGAACCTTCGCAGTAACTTTTGAACCATATAGAAGATAGAGGCTTCATATTTAGTATACATACTCCCCTAAGTTCTTTCAAATGACACGAAGCTCAATGAAGTTCGAGAACTTTGTTACCTTGACTGTGACCTATATGCTAAAAATAACATTTTGAACATTTGTCATAACTTTTAAACCATAGGAGCTCATTGTGTTTCAACCCTATCACTCGGGTCAAGCAGTTCTTGAGCTTTTGTAAAGATGCCTTTGAATTTCAACTAATAAACTGTTACTTTTATTTAAATAATCAATGCAGTGTAAGTTTTGTTGAAATTGGTCCAGTGGTTATGGAGATGTTCAAAATGCGAAGAGTTTACATTTAACGCACATCTGACGACAGACGGACGCCAGACATTCTTCGATCAGAAAAGCTGAATTGAGTCTTTGCTTCAAAGTACTCTGAAAGTATGCTACATTGCAGTGTATACTAGTTGACGATTTCGGAGAACACACGATACGATTGTTTCTGTGTATTACAAGTCTTAATTAAAATTATCTGTTGTATTTTGTAATTTATTTAATTTTCCGAAGAAGAGCTGTACATTATCGGTGCTATGCATGTATTTGTATATTTAATAATGGATGTAGATGTCCAGTCTTATGTACTTCGTGTAATATTATACATGTATACCCTATCCAAGAATTTTAAATTAATGGAAATTGTGGAATTTACAGAAATATAAAAAAAAATATTTATTCAAATTTATGGAATTTACAGAAATATAAAAAAAAATATTTAAAAGACAAGTGGGTATTGTTCTGAAGTAGGAACAACACTGAGATCATAAGGATGGTCTATATTATAGTAAACAACATTATAAGCGTCTGTTATTCCAACGAAATCGATTCCGTCGTTTTCTGCCGCCGTTAGAGCCACTGTGCTAGTAGGTAGTGCTATCCATGGGTTGATAGGATTCCCGTTTTGATTTGTTTCTGATGTGTCATTTATTTGCATAAGCCATTCGTGCGGTGAATGGTTGCTGTAGAACCATAAGCCACTCCCCATATTTTGGTAACCAAAGAAGTCATGGCTTCCTAGTGTTTCTCGAACAACAGCCCATGTTAGATCTGATGGGACAAAGATAGCCATAGATCCTTTGATGTCCTCGAAGTATTGTCTCTTGTTTTTGGGATATCCGACCGCTGGGACCAAATCAGCGGACGATATTGTCCATCGAAAGAAGTTTGGATCTAAAAAAAACAAAATAAGAAAACAAATAAACAAAACACCAGCTATCTATTAAAAAGCATCTTCATAAATTGATGTCGAAAGAATTACACCATTATATATGAAAAAAATTCTTATTTTGCATGCAATTTTTATTATCTTTCCACTTGATAAGCACGAGTTATATAATGATGGGGTTATCCGTCTGATCGTCCAACAGTCTGTACGTCCGACTGTTACGCTTTGGGATACCCATCTCTCATCTGCAACTCCTCTTCTATCATGTCTATCATTGAATGACATTTAATGAGACTTTCACAGAATTTTTGTTCGATACTACCATTATTATGACTTCATAATTTTCATTTTTGATAGGACACATATTTTAGGATTTCCCATTGCAAAATTTGGACACTTCCATTCTTTCTATAATACCGAGCGGTACCCATCTCCTATCCGCAACTCCTCCTTTCCCATTGTATAAAAATTTATTGATCTGTACTTTCATAGATTCCTTATTACATACAGCCGTTTTGCATATCTATATCTATCGCCTGCCTTCCATGCGAGGTAAACAAACAAATTCACACTTTGGTGTTGCATGGAACAACATAATCGAATTATGGTGACCAAATTTGTTCCTCTATCAAAGAAACGTTCAGGCGTATTTTAGAGATCTTAGTAGAATAGATTTAAAGTCCTTGTTGTCGTGAATGAGGCAGGATAACCTCCTCAGTCTCGAAATGTTGTTTGAAATATAAATGCCTCTGCTTACCCCTCAGCTTTTATCTTTCAAACAACATTTCTCGCTCGACCTCGGAGGTTATCTTGCAACATTCACGAAAACGCGGATTTTTTCTACCTGCATATACATCTATGTAACTCTTCTGCACGGTAAGCACTGCGCTCCATTGGCTAACATCTGGGAGGTCTCCAAATCCCTTAAACATTGATGCGATTGACACAGACTTGCAGGAACCAATTTTCAGGAAATCCTTATTGTCGTAAATATACACAGCCTCTGTTGTAATCACAGCTAAGTCGCGCTGAGACGTCGTTGTGCACATATTTTGTACATTATCTACCATGTCAATGATTACCTGCAATAATTAAACATTTAGGAATAAAAACGTTGTACGTAAATGCATGTGAAAATGACGTCACTATGTAGATCACTTGTGACAATAAATGGTTGTCTCAGTCGAACTTGTTCAACGAACGACTGTAAAATTTGGTATATCTTTATTCTCTTTAGAGAAGTGGACAGGCTTTCGCCTCCATCCACTTCTCTTCGCAGGCCTTCATGTTGTTATTCTGGAAACGGTATAATTGTAGAACCGGAGACGGCCTACACTTCACCTAATATTTCGTCTAAAATATGTCTGATTATACGTAACAGACGTATCATATTGACAATCTCAACATAAATAAACTTAACTGTCACAAGAAAACAAGCCTTAACCAGAGACATATAAGAGAGGGACTGCTGACTCATTTTCGCGCCAAATTATCTTCATGTTTTCGCAGCGCCCTCACCGGGAGGCATAGAAAGACTTCCGGTCGTATTAGCTCCAGTGTTTTCTTCGCAGACTTTGGGGTAAATATTGCTAATATATTGTATATTTTATTATTTGTAGCCTGTGCGCCAATTATAATTTATATAAGGTAGATATCTATGAAGTATTTTGGCAGCTATAAAGAGAAATTAAAAAGATAACACGTATAACATGAACCATGCATAAAGATGTTTACAGCATGTCGTTGTCGGTCCAGTATTATTAAATCTGAATAAAAATGTTCTCTTGTTGAAGAGTTGCTCCTTTTATCTTCATAAATATTGTAAACTCAGGCCCTTAAGAACCGGTGAGCAAGTGGGGAAAATTACCAAGTATACAGGCACGTTTCATTTTCAAAGAGGGGGATGTACGTGTATGACATTCAGAAAAATTATCTGGAGAAAAACTTGGAGACAAGCACATAAAAAAGAGAAGGAAATTGTCAGACCAATCTGCAGAAAAATACTATTTTGTGTAGGAGGGGCCGGTTGGGAGGGAAAACTTTTATCATTTTGCTTCACAGTGTTATTTACATCAAAATTTGCATCAGGATCAGTATCAAATACATGAAATACATTGATTTACTGACTGAATGATAATCTTAATATGCTCTTTGCGAGGGGATGCTCCGCCTTGCAGTGCCCTTGTTTCATGGAGATTGTTTTTTTTTTTTTTTACTGCTTTTGTAGTGTTTTTTTTTAAATATACTAAACAATGAACAATTATTATCCCAGGTTTTACAGGTGTATTTCATGGGGCTATTAAATTCTTTTCTTCATTGATTTTGCCTTTTTCATATTTTCAGAGTAACAGTACCTCTCTTGATTGATTCTACAAGATTCTGAAGTTGTTTTCCCAAAAGACCTTGACCTGCTTAATAAGGATGTTTATGTGAGATCAAAGGATGAATAAGACAACAAATAGTTGTTCAGTATTAAATCTGTAAAGCTTAAAATTGTGTTGCAGCGTCAAATACGTACAGCCACGCTCAAAACGGCACTGAAACAGACATTGACATGTTGTGTGGTTTTTCAACAATACTGCAAATGAATAAGAAATAATATCAGAAAATATGTTTTTTCTGAGCCATCTCTCTCCAGGGCATTTGTAAAAAAAAATTTAAGACTTCCAAGAATTTAATTAATGAATATCCTTTCCAAATACTTTCCCACTCCTTGGACTGTAAATTCTGAGTAAAGAAATGTGTGATGAACATATCAAATTTCAATGTGATATGCATTTAAACTGAAATATACTACATGTACAAGGCCTAAATGCATGACAATAAATCTAACTTAAACTTAGCCAATGCATATTTTTGTATTTTTTCAATACCTAGTTTTTAGGCTCAAGTGAGCTTTTCTGATCATATTTTGTCCGTTGTCTGTCCATCTAAACTTTTCACATTTTCAACTTCTTCTCAAGTACCTCTGGGGCAATTTTAACCAAACTTAGTACAAAGCATCCTTGAGTGAAGGAGATTTTGAATTGTTAAAATAAAGGGCCAAGTCCCCTACCAAGGGGAGATAATCAAGAAGAGACAAAAATAGGGTGGGGTCTTGAAAAAAAATTCTTTTTAAAAACCACAGGGCCAGAAAGTAAAAACTTATGTAGAAGCATCCTGGGATAATGTAGATTCTAAATTATTCAAATCATGACCCCCCCCCCCCCCGGTTTGGGCGGGGCCACACTAAGGAATCAAAGTTTTACCTAGAAATATATAGAAAAAACTTGAAAAATCTTCTTCTCAAGTCGAAGAACCACTGGGCCAGAAAACCTGAAACTTATGTGGAAGCATCCTGGGGGTAGTGCAATTTCTATATTATTCAATCATGACCCTCTGAAGGTAGAGTTACAATAGGGAAGCCAAGTTATACATAGAAATATATAAGAAAAAATTTTACAATTTTTTTTCTCTATAACCACTGAGCCAGAAAACGTATTTGAAAGAATTCTGGTGTAGTGTAGATTCTAAATTGTTCAATTTATGACCCTCGGGGGTAGAATGGGGCCATGATTTAGAATCCAAGTTTATATGGATATATAAAAGCACCAATATAATATATAATATATAAATGCAATATATATAAGCACTAGTCTAGTAGTTAAACAAAGTTTTAAAAACCAGTAAATCATATAATGTATGAGTTGCTGGACTAGATTACATGTTACAATCTATGTCTGCTTTCAGGATGTGTATAACTGTATTTTGTTTTGTTTTTTAATGCCAAATTAATGTAGATCTGTATGTAGTTAAAAAAATCAAAAACATAATAATATATATTTATTTTTCTATACAGCAATATAATACACTAAAAAACGTTAATTTCGGCATTATAAAAAAATTATTTAATGAAAGCATAAAAACAAACAACATAATGTCATACACCAACCTGAAACCCAACACAGCTGTAACACCTATCTATTTATTAAAAACCACGTAATTAATACATGCAACTACAAATCCAACATTGCAAACAAATGAGCTCGTCATAATTGGTCTTATCCTATACTATAAAATACATTTTACAGTGTATTTTTAGTGTATACTTTTATAAGACAGACTCAACAAATGCAACTCGAGACGGGGTTAGATGGATATCATCTATTTACTGTATATATAAATTTGTTCTCAATTCTTTGTCGTCATACAAACGAAAGTATCTAATCCTCTTACGATTAATGCCACAAGTAAATTTTGCTTATAATTGAAGTTCTAGCGATGTTTCCTACCCATTCTTATGATGAAACGCCATACTGTTTATAGTTTCTATGCCTCCCGGTGAGGGCGCTGCGAAAATCGGAAGATGAATTTCCATTCGGAACTCGAATTTTTGAAACGACGTGAAAAGTCTAGAGGTGCTCCAAAAGAGTCAGCAGTTTCTCTCTTGTATGTCTCTGCCTTAACATATCAACTATCCATATTTACAAGTTCTCATTCCCGGATTCAAACTCCTGGTTTTCTATCATGGCTTATTCGAAAAATCAGAAAATGCAAAGACCTCCAATTTACGGTTTGAAAAATAGTTGAATATCTTAACAATAATATAATTATTAAATACCTAAGATATCGTTTACTTAAGATTTTAAACATGTTAGATATGGAAAAAAAGGAGGCACTCATTCTCTATCCACCTTGAATAAACGTCTCTCCCGAGAAAGAAGATTTGGGTTTAATGGTCGCCATGCTCATTTTTGGAAAGGATATTTTTATCAACCCATTTTGTTGCCGACATTTGACCATTTCTGACAAATGGAACTGTTCTTGTTATAAAAATTAATTTGCATGGAAAGAAATATAATTATAACTCAGAAAACTGAAGTCTTTCAGCTTTTGTGACAGAACGCTACGGAGGGGTCACGTGACCTCCTATATCACGTGATTCGCGCATGAGCAGGAAGATGACAGATGTGCATTAAAATTGGAGAGGACTTATTTAAAATATACTTAACACTGAATCCAAATATTGTTTCTTCTGTGGAAGTTATTCAATTAGATCGCGAACTTTTTGATCACCCCTCGTACTACAGTAACATAATTAGTGTATATACATACATGTATATATAACATTCTGTTGCACTACCACTCTTTTAAACAACACACTACTATTGCGCTTACACAATTTTACACAACAGTCTGTCGCGCTGTCTCACAACTCGATAATGCAACTTTGCATGACTTGTTTATTAGCGCAAATGTGAGTTCTGTATTATTGCGACTGCGTGTCGTTCGAAGTTGTATTTAGCGTGACAGCGTGTTGTTCGATGTTGAAATACAGCAACGGCGAGTTGCGCAAACTTTTGTTAGCGTGGCGGCATGTTTTCAATGATGCGTTAGCGCGATGGTGCTTTGTATGTTAGAGCGACGACGTGTTGTGCAAACTTGTGTTACTTGTACTTGTAGCGTGACAGTGTGTATTTCAATGATATGTAAGCGCGACGGCGTGTTTTCCTTCAAACGCGCTGTTGAGCTTAAATTTGCAAATGGCCGTAACTCACACTCTCTGCACAGGGCGACTCTCAATATTAATATTTTAATGGAGTTTGCTAGATTTTATAACAATATTTAACCTTAAGAATGACTTCTAAATGCAAGCATTCATTTTTTGCAGCCGAAATACAAGTAAGTATGTTCGAAATTTAAAAAAAGTTCTAGCCAAATCTCTACTTTACATCAATTTAGAGCTTTGTGGTAATTCTTCGAAATTGATTGATTGATTGCATGCATGTTGTTTAATGTCCCTCTACACAATTTTTCACTTATATTTAGATATAATATTTAGAGAGAGAACTTCTTTTTTTTTTTTTTTTTTTTTTTTTAAGCAAAATAATTAATTGCACCAAAAGATTTAATTGATTATAAGTTAGCGCTAAAATGCATATATATGAGCTAATATTTACATTTCCATTGTCTTTGTCCGAGATAAAATTACACATTGAAAATGTACTTTATTTTCCCATCAATGTATTGGCACGAGTCCCCCCCCCCCAAAAAAAAAGACACGTGCAGGGCGGAACAAACAGCTAGACAGAAGCAGGGCTTGGAGCACGTAGATTGGCGGATTCAAAACTTGTAAATATAAGGAATAACTGTCAGATTTTTTAATTTCATGATGATGATCAATCGATTGGCTTGTGTGATAATTTAATGCCTTCGGGGTTTATGCAAATTATCACGCAACCCAATCGATTGATCACATCATGAAATCGAAAAATAAGACAGTTATTCCTTAAATTATTCCTATGGTGTAACATTTCATATACTTATCTGTAGCTCAAACACTTACTGGAAATGTAGAAGTTGTTACTTGTGGAGTCAGTGAAGGGGTCGGTATATAGGGAGTTGAAGTCACAGTGCCAGTACTTGATTGTAGGTTCATTGCTGTTCCCGGTAAAGTTACTGATGGCGTGACTACTAGAGCGGTTGTTGACGTCAAAGGATACCTGTCTGCCACCTTCATATAACACATCGAAGAATCGCTAACCATTACGTAAGGAACCGATCCTTCCTCGGATACCAGTTTACAAAGTCCTTGCTGAGTGGTCTCCATGTTTTTGCATTCGTAAGATACCGCAAAGCAACCTCCAGTGTTCAAACATATGCGTGCGCATCCAATCTATATTCACATGTAGAAACGCAAAAATCAATTTAGAATATTGTCAATATTCAGTTGATGCGTATTAGTTTCACATAACATTTTTTCAAGTTCCCAATTTTGAGGTTGACTATTAATCCAAATTTATCTCAGCTTTTCTAACTTGTTGGCACTTCCAATTTAATCTTGGCTTTTCAAACTTTTAAATTGTCAATTCCAAGTTTGATCTAGGATTTTCAACTTTTTGTTTCTTTTTTCCCACATTATTTAATATTATTAATCTTTTTTTGCGAACTTAATTCACTGAAACAAATTGGTGATTTTTTTCCCTTTGCTTTACCCTGACATGACATTTTTAGTATAACTTTCAACTCTTAAGCCCTTGAATTTCTCTCGGTCTAGCTAATAATATAATGTAGCAACTTCATATAATAATAATTTTTTTTTCAGTGTAGGTGGACTAATATCAAACTTGTTTTAGGTGTTTCATTATATTATTATAAGGAAATCGTATACTAGGTATTTACAGTCACTGTGTAGCAATATACAAAGCAACATTGGTCCAATTCACTTCAAAGTATACAAATACGAATAAAACAGGTAAAGCTGGGGAAAAAGTTGGAAAAGCCAGTCTTATGAATACGAGTAAGGTTGAAAAGGCCAAATTAGAAATAAGCCAATCCTGAGAAAAATCTTTAAATATTATATACCATATCATTTTTTTGCCTCAAAAAATTTAACAAGATTTTGATAATTATGTTTATCCCACTGAGAGTAGGTCTAATATTTTATTTGAAAAACAATTCCCTTTCTCTTGGGATACTGTTAATTATAGTTCAATTTAGCCAAATAGTTCGGAGAAAAGTAAAACAAGCAAAATATAATAGACAGAGGGATGAACAAGTACTCCTAGTAAGAAAGATGACGGTCAACGGGTGATCAGAAAAGCTGACTATATGTATAGTCCTGGAATTATCCTCTTTACCAACGTTTTCCTCAAAATAATTTTCTTTTACAACTTATATTTGATGGATGCATATGCGTTTCACTAACCCCAGAATATGTGGTGACACTTCCGATTTCATGATTTGTGATAGCTTCTCCTTCTATTCGTGAGTTGAGATGAATGTACCGGAAACACTCCACGCATTCCAAATGAAAAAGGAAATAACTCCAAAATGTTAATATAAGACGTCTTTTCACCATATTAATACGCTTTTTAAAAAGTAGGTATCAATATGTGTTAACCATAGTATATTGAAAATGAAGTTTGAATATTGCCTTGGATATAAATGATTTTGCCATCGCAAAGTCATGATCGAAATCGATGAAGGCTGGATTGAATCTGTATAATGTCCAGCGTTAACCTTTTATAAGCAATTTACAATTGGAAAGCCATTAATTCAGACAATAGCCGATAATTCAACCCATATAGAAAATCGTGTTTACATTTTATTCTAATTAAACATGAAAACGAATGATACAAACTATCTCCTTTATTGTCTATGGAATCAAAACGTTCACGGATAACAGGTTTCCATTACTATTGTAATTTAAGTTATTGACCAAATCTACGATGAAAAACCACTTTCATGGTTTGAATAGCAAATTCATCCTCATTAATTCTTGCTTTGCTTAGCTGTTAGATCAAACAATAAATGGTTCTGTTGACACAAAATACTTCCTTTTTTAAATCTAAATTGTTTTACTAATTTCACTTGATTTATATCTTTTGAGCAATTTGCAACAGACACGTACATGTAGTATCGTTTTTGAAAAGCGGCTCTTTGCAGAGGAAACAATTTCAAATTGCCGTGGGGAAGGGAGGTTCCAAAAATGTTTATAATCAAATTATATTAAAAAATTATCACATTACCCTGATTTAAGAATAGTGCATAAAAAAGTGGGAGGGGGCAACAAGCTTTAAAATATCCATTTTCAATTTAAAAAAAAAATTGTTTGGAAACAAGAGGCCCCATGGACCTTGAATGGCACTAATACATTGTACAACCTATCATTTCTATTTGAAGCCTCTAAGTATTCTATTTATTTAGTTAAGCCTGGAAGTTCAAAATGTAGGACATTATGTGACGTACATTTTGATTCAAACACAATGAGAATCCAGGCTACACAAAATGACAAAGTTTGATGATTCGTACCCTTTATTTATCCAGATATAGCCATGGAATCACAGGAACTACATTTATATCACCTATAAATAATCAAAAACAGTTCATCATGGTTTATATACATAATGTACATGGTGTACATTACGTAAATAATGTATATATATTTATGATTAAAACTGCAAATTAGATCATACATGTAATTAATCCTTTTATTAGAGTATTTCAAATTCTTTATAATTGTAACAAGAGTTATTAAGTGTACAGCAACACTTTTACTTAGGATTTTTAAACATACATTAACATGTAAGCAAACATGCATTATTCAAAGGAATATACATTGCAATACTTCATTCTGGCCAGTAATAGATAGCAAATATTACTTTTGTATTGATCAACAAATACTTAGTACTCCAGCCTTCTGTGTAAATTTACAAGCTGTAATGGACTTCATCAATGATGGTAAAATTACATTTTACACCTCCATTTATTCATGTTTAAATATGAAAAATGAAAAGACAAGTTTTGCTCATTAAACGTACTACTGTAGTATTTAACAGAGGTCAGTTTAATATTTGGGATCTTAATTTCTGACACCTTGACCCCTTCCTCAGATTCTAATACTTTAAGCCTTTTCTTCTCCTTTTAAATTATTATTCCATGCAGTTCATTTTCTGTCTCCTCTATATACACAAACTCCAATGTAAAGATCGCTTCTGAAAATTATGTCTTCGAATAGACGAAGAAAAATCTCCAAAGAGTAAACACTGGTATTTGTACATTAAAAAAATTGTCTGTATTTGGTCTGTATTTGGTTTATTATAACCATCCATCTAAAATCTATTAGAAAAATGTTGTTTTTTTTTTTTTGTTTAATTGCGGTATTTTTTAAACGTGTTTAACATGTTTAATGTATGTTTAAAACATACATCAAAATTGCTGAAATGAAATAATCAGACTGTATTGTGTACATGAACAAATGGCTAACCTAGTAATCCTGCGGATAATTTTTTTTTATATTTTGATAGTGAATTGAATGTTCAATTACAGGTTGCATTCAGCTGTGAAATGGTATCTCGAAAATCTGATTTTAGTCCCAGATCTAGATGACCGAATCGCCTTCTAAGAAAAATACAGACTAGATGAGATGCCTGCATGTGTGAGCAAAATAATGCGCAATATTTAATTACTCGTTTATTGATGAGATCCGAGGAGGGATTAGAAAAATGTAACGATTCTGACGTTGACATTTTATTCGTTAAACAAGTTAAACAAAAGGAAAGAGTCAACAAGGTTTTGTTAACGAATATAATTAAAAAATTTCTTTACATGGGCGGTATAGGTAAAGAATTATGAAATCAGGGATTAAGTATTCTTGTCAGCTTTTAAAGAAAAATTAATCATACCAAACGTCTTGTGAGTTATTGTTCAAGAGAGAGTTTGTGAAAATGAAATGAATTCCTAATAAAACAAGAAGCCATTTGGCTATATCGCTCACCTGATTATAACTTTGGTCATGTCGTTCCTTACCAGATTTCCCCCTTGTACTACCTACTGCGACCCCACCCACCCCCGATGTGGTCATGATTTGAACAATTTACAATCTACACTACCCATGGTCCTTCAACATAACTTTTAATTTGTTTTTTTTTTAGTTTGCTAAGCCGACCTCAAGTTTTTGCATTTTCAAGTCTGTTTTTTGCACTTATCGAACCAATATCACATGTAGTAAAACCATCTAATAAAAATTATCATGCATCTTAAAATTATACTTTAAAAAAAAAACAAAATTATAATGTACTATACTGTTTATAATATAGATCGATGTATATTTTATTTTAACAATTAAGATTAGGAGTGCCTATGTTGGATATTAAAGGTTCAGAATCAATGTTCAGTTAATTAAAGAATTGTGCCTTATACATGTAGTTTACAAGTTTTCTTGGGATGAAAATGCTACACATGCAATATATTTCACATAGTTCCTTACACTGCAAATAGTCTAGATGTATCTAAACCCAAATACGGACATAAACGATTGGGCATAATTTACAAGTATTTAGAATTGTATTTTTTTTCATTTATCGATGAGGATGTCCAGAAAATCAATGGGTGATCATGTGATCATGTTTAACGTTTACCAAGAACAAAGTTAACAAAATTAAATTCACTCACAAGAAAATAAACTGACTTTTATTGAAACTGATTTTATTGGAATTTGAATTGCACATTTGTTTATAAAAATTGTAAAACATGAATGTCATTAAATTGAATGTGTCACTTATTCTTGAAGACTTTCATTCAGGTTTTACTTCCGTTAGTTGCAAAAGTGAACAGCTGTGTGTGTGATAAGAGGAATTCTTGTAGTTATGCATGACTGCATCACAGGGCTCCGAATTCCAAACACACTTATTCACGCATGCATGGCGAACGCTGCTTATTGAAGTTACCGCAGTGTAAACGGAAGTTGTTTTGATGGTTGAATAAATTGAAGAAAAGTACCTAAAATATGTGTCTCGGATGGTTGGAAACACTGTAAAAGAAAAGTTGACATTATTCATCTACTTAGAAATGAAATTGACAATGAAATCTGATGACACAATTAAATTGACGTTGCCATTAATTTTACAAGACATTCTCTACTTTCCCTTACAGTAACACGTTTGACATCCAAATCTGAAGAGGTTACGTGAATGAATGTACATTTTAAAATCGGGAATTGTCCTTAAATTTTGTATCACAAATACACAACAAGTCCTAATCATTGATAAATTATTATACTTAAACTACTCGGAACCGGTCTCAAAAATGCCTAATGATGAGAAGTTGAAATTCAAATTATACAACTTTCTAGAAATTTGAACTGTTACATGTATATGAATATCAATACTCACGATTACAGTGTGTATTGTTTATTGCTGATCGAAAAATACTGTAGCTATAGCGAGAATAATAATACTCTGTTGTACTTCTATTACATGATGTTCCATAGCTCCACCAATTATAATCTGATGAGCTAGAGAATCCCCTTTCATTTTTATTGCAGTAATCATAATAACCATCTGATGGACAAGGTTTGCATGCGTCACTTCCGGAACTGTTCTGGTAAGTTCCGGTCTCACAAGAGGTACAACTTTCTTGACCTATTTCGTCCTGAAACGTTCCTGGGGGACACAGGTCACACCATGATCTGTCCTGTAGAGCTTGGAAGCTTCCAACGGGACAGGACTCACACTCTTTACCATTGAAAAAGAAGCCTTTGGAACAGATGATGCGGTCCTCTAGACAAAATGTTCGGGGGGAAAAAAGGAAGAAAAACGGTTTGAAAAGAATTACTATGATTCTAGGTAACCGTTATTACTGGATAGAATTGTATAAGCACAATTATTTTGTCTAAAGATTTTTTGATCTTAGAATTAAAGCCTGTATTGGTTAAATATGAAATAAATGTTGAACGAAGTACATGTAATCATCTTACTTGTAACACACTTTTCTTCAGTATTGTGAAGAACAGTCAGAATCTGGTGGACAGGACACAAACTAGAGGCATATGCACCGTATTTGAAACAGCTTTTCGTAAAAGGGGTCTGTCAAATAAATATTATAAACTAAACATTATAATCAGAGGAAAATAATTCTGCAAGCAAAAATACATTTACCCCCTCCTCAATCGACGAATCCTCGAGGAATTTGGCAAAGAATTTGAAAATAAGGAAGATATATGATATTTCACAATAGATAAAGAGCATGAAAAACACACGTACTTGCTTTAAAAACAACAGTCTATAGCTAGAGAATATAAATCCCCTAAAGACACATCAGTGTATTAAAAAGATTGCGCAAAAGCATCCACAAAATAGGAAAAAAAGAGCATTAACAAATTTGGTATCGTAAACGTTTTACATCACTCGATATCTTACATGTATATATACCGCTTTCATTGACCTTTGAAGAAGATTCGTTTATAAGAGGAATAACTTTCATAATTTGAATAATAAAAAAAAATGTGAACTTTAGCCGATGTGTGTTCTTTTTGATAGATGTTAATTTTAGAAAGGTAAAGATATTTTTTTAATCTGGAGATAATTTGGTTTAAAATAAAAAAAAAGATTCGGATGAAAAGTTCTTGCCAAATATATAATTCGTAATCAAACATATTTACTAAACATTTGAATTAACTGTCTGCATAGCTTAGAAACATTGACCCTCAGGGTGCCAAATCTTAAAGTTAGAATACATCTTCAGTCAAAGAAACTTAACTTCATATTTTTTTATTTTCAAGAGAGAGAGAGAGAGAGAGAGAGAGAGAGAGAGAGAGAGAGAGAGAGAGACCATCCAGCATATCTACCCTGGTATTTGTTTTTCAACTTATTGTGTGGTAAACTGTTTCAATTTAAATTTTATATTATCATGTCTTAGTAATAAATTTTGAAAATCATATCAAATCCGAAACAGTATATTGTAATCATTTCATAACACAATAATGAATTTTTAAAAAGACCTTTGAGAAGTTTAATTTCTATAGTATCGTTGAATGTTTCGGTGCAAAAACATTATATGTTATTATTTTCTATATTTAAAGTATGTGTTGGAAAATTTGTTAAATATCAACATGACAGAGCTTCAACCCCCCCCCCCCCCCCCCCCCCCCACCCCCAAGAAAACAAACACTTACAATCAACTGTAAATCCACGAAATAAGTACCATCTTCTGTGTAAAAATCGGTATCATTGCCCACTTCTGTTTGCGCAGCGTTCAGTTCGCACAAAAAGGTAAATTTATTGTAATTAACGGACAGACATCCAGATAAAGCGCGGCAGTCCCGAATGCACATCCCAATTCCTATATTTGTTCTATTTTGGACGAGATGATTCGCCAGACGTGTATTCTCTGTGAAAGTGAAGTCACCATTCAGAAGACTTAAACTTTCACAGTACAGAATATTTATCAGTAAAATTGAAATTACGAAAATCCGAGCCATGACAAAGGATTTGTTCTGGGGTGGCTGACAGATATGTGCTATTTAGATCCTTTGCTTTTTCTGTTTTGCTGAAATATTGTTTCATTTTTTGGAGGTACAAAAAATGTCATGCAATAGTTCCATAAATTATTCATATAATTGGTGTCAAAAAGGTTAATAATTGGATTTTGAAAATGTGACATAAGTGAGCAAAGAAAGGGTTTGTTTGTATTAGAAGAAACAGTTCATATTTACTGATAATTAATAGGTCCGGACATATTGAATTTCTGAAAAATGTACACAGTACAAAATTGCTAATTATTGTATTTTCTCCATTGATTTATTTTTTTTTAAGAAAAGTTTTAAAAGTTTCCCAATGATTTAGATCTAGATTACTTATAGAAAATAAACTAAACTTAAAATTCTGAGGCCTGGATTATTAAAAAAAATTAATTATGTTTCATTCCTCTTTGAGACCAGAGTCAAAACAATTTGGATAGGAGTTATGTCGGAATCTGACAGAACAGCGGGAACGGTTCTTTACATTAGAAAATGAAATTTAGCTTGTTATTTTTATGAATCCGTTCTTTGTACACAATAAAAGTAAAAATATTGTATTTTCAAAAGAAAATCATAAATATAAGCGAAAATTTATGAGAGCATATAGCCATAGATAATAAAAGTATCGATTGTATAATTAATGATTTTAATATAGATAATTATCTATTTTATTAAAATAACGAATTCATTGATTTTGTTAACCTTTGAGTTTTTTTTTTCAGTTTTAAATTCTGAACTATATTTGTAAAAATAATTTATGATATTCCATACACACAAATGTTGTGAGAAAAATACAAATATTTTAGAACATTTCCCAAATCCTAGCTTTAAAAAATATACGTGGACAATAAGATATGTTCAGGTGACACATTAACATACGTATTAAAATAAAAATCATTCACACATACGCACACAAAAAAATAAATAAATAATTAAAATACGAAAAAAAATAAATAAATAAATAAAAAAATAATAATAAAAAATAAATATAATCACATTTCATTATTTAAAAAAGCAATGCTGTCAGTATTTGTTTAGAATAAGACATCATTCATTTTATAAATATATAAAAATATAAATACAATCTATTATCTCTATCGATAAATTATCTAAATCAATTTTTATGATAATTATAATTGATTGACATTCCGCTTGGAAAGTGATCTACATGAGAAATATATCAATAACACCGATAGGTAATTAAATACAAACATATTAATTATCCGTTATTAATTAATGCTTGGTCGTTACTCTGTCGGTCGCTCTACCGGCGGACATGACAAGGAAACTCTTAGCGGGAATCGTGAACACTTTTCAAGATAATGAAAGAGAAGTTCATTCCTGACGATGAGTTAGTCCATATTCGTTTATAAATACCCGTTTTATAAATTTTTTCAAATCATAAACTGAATTTTCTTTACAGGTAACAACGTTGGATTTCCTCGCAGGTATCGAAAGGTAGACTTAACTTAACATCTAATATGATTTTCGATTTAAAAAAAAATGAAATTAAAAAAGTAAATTGTAATAATTTACACAAATGCACTTTTTAAAATATAAATTATACTTTTAATTCTTTTAAAGATTCAATTAAAACACATGTACTATTACTAAATACCCCTAAGCACATAATTCGTTTATAATTTTTCATAATCGGATAATAATTTGCTATTCTAGTATGATGCAGTCTTTGAGGGATGCCTCTTTTGAATGCAGTCCTGTTTCTCCTGTAAGTACTTAGAAAATGTGATTTTTAATTTAATTTTCATTTTTGTTTTGCTTTTTTTAAATTGAAGAAAATTGAATGTTTTAATATTATAGTATTTTACCTTTTTATTACATGCTACATAATTTAATTTTTCCTTCTTACAGCTCACAAAGCAGCTAATGTCGACTCTCCGCTTTGACACCGTGGAGGATGAGTTATCGTCCGTGATAACTCCTAAACGAACAACAGACTCTAAAGTTGTTAGAAAAATTTCGATGGTACCTCACATTCATGAAGAGGTATTAACTCAAAAATGAATTTAATGAAGAGGGATAAAATTTTTAATGAATTTTCAATTTTTGATTTTATTGCATTGTGTTTATAATTATTTCAGTAAAACACTAGTTGTTATAAACTTTTGCATGTATAAGAAAGGATTTCTCTTGAAATTGAGAGCAAATACATTTAAAAAGCGTAATTGCTGATCAATATTATTTAATGTTCATACTGTCAATAAAATATTATGTATTTTCGTTAGAAGCTTATAGAGAGTTCTGAAGGTTTTGAAATTAGAAGAAGAAGCACCGGTTTGCAGCGTTTTGCCACCTTTGAAAGCAGACGGTCCTTGTTTAGCAACAAGAGAGAAAGACCTGAAAATGCACAATGCCAGAAAAGTAAAAGAGCGAGGCATTCCACCGGAAAACAATGTCAAGAATTCACGGTAAATAACCTCTCAGACACAATTATCGTCATATAGACAATCTCACTATGCAAGATTTAATGTTTTTTTTCCCCTTGAAATTGATTATCAATTTATATTTCTATCGACAGAATGATCAAAAAGCCTTGTTCCAAATCGTCGATGCCATGGAGGCCGTTTTGGAGAAAGACGGAATTACAGGCGACGGACAAACAACGCTGGGACTCCCAACCATTCCAGGAAAACACCCAGATCTGAACAACATCTCTGCAGAGACTTTAGGCGAACTAATGAAAGGCAAATATGCGGATACTATCGGGAGTTTTCGTATTATTGACAGTCGCTACCCATACGAGTTCGACGGAGGTCATATTGAGGTTAATATACGATTTTTTTCCTTGTAATTTTCCTATGCAAATAATGTTATTAAAGACAAATATTTATTTTAGGTATAATCTATTAAAATTAAACCTATTATCCATAATCTTTAACAACATTACAGCAGCTGGACTCTAAAAATAAACCTCGGACAAATTGATAAAATGTGTACACTTTCTTGATTATAGGGTGCCGAAAATATATACACGGAAGAGGGTATTCTTGATTTGCTTCATTCCTGCAACAAAAACAACACTGACAGCGATAAGCGCAATATTCTCATCTTTCACTGCGAATTTTCTTCAGAGAGAGGCCCCAAGAAGTGAGTTTTGCTGCCCTTCCATTTGAAAAAAAATGCCCTATTTAAATAGACTTTTCTAAGCTAAGCTTATCTATAGCAGTGTCACGTCTAAAGTTGGTAATCAACATTAATTTATAATGTAAAAAACATATATTTTCTGCACTACAATCCGTTAAGTAACTCAAATTAATTAACGTTTAATTTTAATTTTAGATGCCGACTTCTCAGAAACAAAGACAGGGAGCTAAATAAAGAGAACTATCCATTCCTTAAATTCCCAGAAATCTATCTTCTGCACAATGGATACAAAGAGTTTTATGCAACTAACAAGGTAATACTGCTTTTATAATCATCCAGAAATTTTATCAAAATAGGGATAGATATCTTTCTGTCTTTGTTTCTATATCTCGATATTTCATCAACACATATCTTGATATTTCAGACATTCTGTGAGCCTCAAAGCTACAAGCCTATGCTGCATAAAGATCACTCAAACGACCTCAAATTTTTCCGTCAGAAATCCAAATCCTGGTCTGCAGGCGAAAAAAAGAAATACGCACGTCAGTTTCTCAGATTATAAAAAGCCAAGCGAATTTTAAACTGAATATTCAGATGATAGTAAATTATGAGGGAGGGTGCAGTACCCCTCTAAGGCGGCCCACTGATGAAACCCATAACGAGGACAAACGATGGATGGATGATATGAAACACTATAGCGATTCCAATCTCTACAAGAAGGGCTTACAGGATAGGATTTCTAAAAAAAAGAATAATCTATATTCATAACATGACTGCTGAACTGTAGATATTGTTAAGTTTGAAATATGTATTTAGTGCTTTTTTGTCTGTGATATGTTTTATATTAGATATTATTGTCCATGTTACTGATGATTTTAACAGGGACCTATATAGGCCTCTGGTATACAGATTTGTTATAAATATGAAAAGTTCAATTTGATGTGTTCATGTTTTATCATTTTAACAAATTAAGTCAGGCTATCAGCTTTATAATGAACAAATTGGATTGCGTAAAATTCGGAAAAGGGAAAGGGGGCACTTTTTACATAGTATAGTCTTAAATGCTGCAGTTTTAATTTGGAAAAGTTCAGTTAGATGCTGGTTTCTGTGATGCCAAACACTGGCAAATTACAGCGTTGTTAATCAAAGATTTCGAACCTTACCTTGGCGAATACTATCTGTAAGTAAGTTAAATCTCATATATTTTTTTTTCTAGTTAGTGTACATCCTAAGATCAATATTCGTGCGTTTTGGATTAAGTAGGACTTGTGATTACTTGAAAATGGACCTGCTCAAATATTTAATCCGTTTACTTAATATATTATCGACAAACTTTCAGTCATTCTCAACAACCTAATAAAGTCTGGACATGTCCATCCTTACATGCATTTTCCATGCAGGCTTAATGATACAAGTAACAGGTCATAATAGAGCGACTCCAATAACATTTTCCTGGTCACTCAATTAGAAAATATAGGTCAGATTCATAATCAAAAGCAAGTCTTGAAGTGATACATCATCAATACTATTCTGGTAAAAGTATGGAAAAATTCACTAAGTTGGAAAACTTAGGTCGGATTCAGCATCCGATGCAAACGTGGTAGAGTCCCTAGATGCATCGTCGACACAAGTTTGGTCAAAGGAGAACTTATAGGGTGGGAATGGAGCTACTCCAAAAATGAAACCTAGCTGGTCATTCATCTGGAAAATCTAGGTCAGACCCAGCATCCGAAGCAAATGCTTAAGTGTCCATCCCTATGTGCATCATCCATGCAAGTGTGGTCCAGATAGGGCTTATAGTTACTCTGGAATGTACCTTTCCAAAAACTTTTTACCCCAGCGGTTACTCATCTGGAAAACTTAGGTCCTAGGTAATCCAGCATTCGAAGCAAGTGTGGTAGTGTCCATCTCTAGATGCATTATCCATCCAAGTTTGGTCCAGGTAGGGCTTATAGTTAATTGGATATTGACTTGCTCCTAACGTTTTTACCGGGATATTAGGAATATGCTCTTCTCGACCTAAAATTTGTTTTCATACTCATTAAACCCTTGTCAAATTATTTTGGAGATTAAACCACATTCAGCACACAGTACTGTACATCCTGAAGTGTGATTAAAAAAAAGTCTGTAATAAAGCGCAATTTTACACTTTAAGTTAGCTATTTTTCTCCCATCGCCACTTTATACGAATGTTCCTATGATAAAGTACACCTATATAGATATCCCTTTGGAAAACCCAACTAAGTGTCCAAATACACAACCACAAGTTAGTACAAAGTGTTCCTTTAAGGGGAAATGAATTAAAAATTCGTGCGAGTTTTTAACATTTACTCTATTTAAAGTCAATATTAATACAAGAGATGTTTGTAAAACATAATTTTTCTAAGCAAGGGCAAAACTAAAAATGGCACGTTGTACCCAAAACAGAACCTGACTTAGATATTCATCTGATAAATTAAATCTGTATACTAAATTTCATCTCAGCATGTGCAATGGTTGTGAAGAAAATAAACGGAAACTGCAAATTGGAATTTTTCGAAGTCCAAGGGGCATAACTTTGTCAAAAATGGTGCAATCATACCTAAAACAGAACGTGACCTAGATATTAATGTGATATATCTGTATACAAAATTTCATTTCAGTATGTGCAACGGTTGCAAAGAAAATGAACGGAAACTGCAAATAATTGAAATTTTTCCAAGTCCAAGTGGCATAACTCTGTCAAAAATGGTGCTTTTGGCCTAGATATACATGTGATATATCTGTATAGTAAATTTCATTTTAAGGGTATGAACGGAAACTGAAAATAATTGGAATTTTTCTAAGTCCAAGTGGCATAACTCTGTAAAAATGGCGCGATCGTACCCGAAACAGAACTTGACCTAGATATTCATGTGATATATCTGTATACCAAATTTCATTTCAGTATGTGCAACGGTTGCGAAGAAAATGAACGCAAACTAAGTGGACCGACAGACCGACGGACCGACAGACAGCAGCAAAGCAATATGCCCTCCCTTCTTCGAAGGGGGGCATAATAAAAACGACAATTAATATTTAGCCGCAAAATCAATCTTAATATTAGAAATTCCTATATTCCTCGCTTTTGACCCATCCAGACCATTTTACTTCTTGAATGAAACAGATAATTAATGTATATTTGTACATGTGGATAATTGCATAAACACTGTAAGTACAAACACGTAAAACATGTATTTCGACCTTGTATAGATACTAATTTATAATCAAAGAAGTTGGGAAAATGAAGCGCGCAAAATGCCTATTGTGAATGACAAATCTCAACAAGCGCAAACTGCTAACATAATGATTTTAATATAATTAAATAACATAGTTTCTTTTTTTTTTGCAAAGATAGACATAATATAGGCACTGAACATTGGGGAGTAGATTAAGCCCTCCCCTCCCCCTACTTCCAAAAGACAGTGCAGTGTAATCAAAGAAGGGTAAGCAGCAGCGTTTCAAAAGAATATTTTGGTACTGAAAGATGTTCAAATAAGATTTTTTCCATTTTTCCTTTTTTTTTTTTTAAGCAAATGAATTATAAGTTGTACATGTACATACACAAAAAGGAATATGTTTTTAAAAATTACACTCACAATATACATTCGTTTGTTAACAAAAAAAAAGTGGCCAAATGACCGACCATGAAAATACACTTTTAGTACACGGCACTTGTATATATCTTTTCGAGAAATGTTTGAGGTCCATTTAGTCAAGAGCTAGGGTCATATGTATATTTTCGTTATAGCATAGTACAACTCGTATTAATCTCAAAAAGGTTTCATCGAGTAAACTGATACTCAGGAAATTTATTCATTGGATTCTAACCCCCTAAAACTTTCTTACATTCATTTTCCACAGAGAAGTTTTGTTTTGTAATAATTTCATACTTTTCAATGAATAGAACTTATTCTTTTGCTAATGAATATTGAATGTTTATTTTAATATACAAGTACAATGTATTTGAAGCAGTTGACATTTTGCTAACCGTGTTAGCCCATCGCCTTATACCAACTACTTGGTATTTCTTTATATAAAAAATTAGAAGGGAACGTAACTCTTTTTGGAAATGCAGCAATGTAACTATCAAAGATAAATTCTGGAGAAGGCTAAACACATTTATTTACATATATATGCAATAGTAAAAAAAAATAAACATTGATATATTGTCTACTCCTTTTGACAAGAAAATGTGAATGTTACTCTGGAATCCTAAGATACTCTATTCATTTAGGTTTTTTAACATTTCATGATATAATTGGAAACAATTTCGACTAGCTCGTTCTCCAACACAAAGACACACATTACATTTGGAACACTTATATTGTGATTTAGTATTCCACCCGGACTTGGTTCTAATTTTCTGAATTTTACAATAATAACAATATCTGTTCTTATAGCTTTCATTTCTGACAGGCACGTGATCCGAGTCTGGTCCGCCATAATTAGTGCCAGAAGTTTCAAAATCCAGGATACCTAAAATGAAAACAATGAATAGATTATATTAAAATGTGTTCAATGTATTGCTCGAGATATGTTTATTTGTAACGACGACATCATCGTAAACAGACAAGGTATTAATGACATTGCCATGATAATGTAACTTTTGAAGTAATTGCAATTGGTTGGAGGTAAACATAAGTGATGCATTATAACCAATGCATAATAAGAAAGAAACCGTAATTATATAAAATTTTATAAAAAAAATTTAATGAAGTATGTGTGGTGCAAAGTGTCAATTTATTTCTTTATTATCGCTTAAAACTGACTTACATTTACAGACATCAAATATTCAATTCAATCACTTAGAAAATGGCATACGTCTTCATATTTTCCGATTCTAGTTGAAAAAAAATCATGCACAACTGCAATACTAGTACATGTATATTACTTCACATCGTTTTGTAAAATTTTCAAAGAAATCATAATTATATATTGTGGAAAAAAATGACTAGTAAATTTTACACATTTCATTTCTTTTGGGGAAAAAACAATAAAAAAAAAAAACAATTTAAGGAACAATGCTGCACAATACATATTATAAAGTAGCATTATATTATTCACATATAGTAATGTACTCCACAATTATTTATTTTGTTTTTTTTGATGATATATTTCAGGGCGTTGATCTATTCAGCTGCTCTTAAGCTGAAAACAACTTCATTTCATCTCCCATTTCGGCGAAATGTCGGGCTCCGAGCTCTTTTACAACTTCAGTTGCTTATGGTTTTCGGGCTCCGTACATTTGTTATGATCACTTGCTTATGAAAAAGCTGACGACTTCATTTTTTTTTCGCATCTCCCTATTAGGTGTAATTTTGGGCTCCATGCTCTATTAATGACTTCAGTTGCTGATGATAAAGTCGAAAACAACTTTGTCTTTGTTCTCCCCTCCTGCACACACAAAGACATACATTGCAAGCAGAGCACTTATGTCTGGATTTTGGAACATATCCACTTGTGAGCTTTAGTTTATGTGTTCGGCAATACCGGCAGTAATGTTGCCTTCTGTCTTCATTTCTCACAGCGATATGAGCACCATCTTCCATTTGCACT